TAGTCTCTAATGATCTTTTGTATTTCTTCAGGGTCAGATGTGACTTCATCTTTTGTGTTTCTGATTGTGCTTATTTAGGTTTTTTCCTCATTTTTTCTTTGTCAGTCTTGCTAGGGGACCATCGATCTTGTTTATCCTTTGGAAGAACCAGCTTTTTGTTTCATTGATTTTTTTAAATTATCTTTTTGTCTTCTATGTCCTGGATTTGGGCTTTTATTCTGGTGATCTGCATTCTTCTGCTGAAGTTAGGGTTTTAGTGTTATTGCTTTTCCATCTTCCTTAGGTAACTTGTTAGGCTGTTAGATTGTGATCCTTCCATTTTCTTCACATGCATTTGTAGACAAATGAAATTCCCCTTTTACTACAACTTTCATGGTATCCCAGAGATTTAGTAAGATGTTTCTTCATTTTCATTTGTTTCCAGGTATCTTTTAATCTCTGTTTGGATTTCATCATTGACCCAGGAGTTGTTTAGCATCATGCTATTTAGTGTCCATGTCTCTGTGGGTTTGGGGGAAACCTTGATGGTGTTGATGTTTATTTTTATTCCAATGTGATCTGAGAACGTGCATGGCAAAATTTCGGTCTTTTGAAATTTGCTTATGCTTGATTTATGGCCACATATATGGTCGATCTTAGAGTACGTTCCATGTGGTGATGAGTAGAATGTATATTCTGTGGTCATTGGGTGGAGTGTTCTGTAGGTATCAATTAAATTTAATTGATTTAATTAAATTTCAAAAAGGTAGAGGTCAAGTAAGGAAAACTGATGGCAGAGTACACAGGTGGTTATGGAGATTTGGTAATTTCAATGTTCTGGTATTCAAGTTGGAGGATATTATCAGTTGTTTCCTTTCTTAAAATATTCCAGAGTTTTCTTTCTGTCATTTACAACTGGCTGTTGAGAGCTGATATTCTATGGCATTGTGTTACTAGATATTTATGTCTCATTAAAAGGAAAGAGAGTTATACACACACACGCAGAGAGAGAGAGAGAGAGAGACAGTGAGTTTAGACTCAATGGCCACAAGACGAATTTTAAATAACACTACAAGATCCATAGTTTACAAGTGGGTTTTTTGCTAGTAAAGTAGAATTCTACAATTCTAAACAAGTGCATAACCCTACTGGAAACTCAATCATTTTAACTCGTTCTGACTCAATACCAGAAATGCCACACAAAAACCTATAATGATTTATTTTAATCATGTCTTATATATTAATAATATTTATTAGATGTTTTGTATCTTAATCATTAAAAAATATGAATCTCAGGTAAAAACAACACAAATATGTGAAAAGTCTTTAATCTGAGTATAGTATTCAATCATTTTGTGTGTGAGGGATTGGGTCTGAGTTGTGCTTTGAACTGAGTCACAGTAAACAATTTGAAGCAACAGCTTTAATTGCAACAACTTCCGGAAAGCCATATTTTTCCACTGGCTGGACACCCACCTTGGCCTCATGAAAACAAGAATAGTTTTTGTGCGTCACCTACTTTTATTGTGGTCAAACAAGTAAACTGCATGATCAGAGCCCCCTCGCGACATCCTGTACGCTGGTTTATTTTGCTGGGTCACTGCCTCCTTACAGCAAAAGCAACACCATGTCACTCTCGTTCATCAGCCTGGTGTGTCTTGGTGAGTATGGAGAAGAGAATGGAGGGAGGGAATTCTTGGGTGGTGATGTTCTGGGTGCTGGGTGTCTCCACAGCATACACCCCTGCTGCCCTGGAATTTGGGGGACAGAGTTGAGGGAGGAGTTTATCTCCAGCTCAGCCAGGGTCTCACTGGGCTGGAGGATGAGGCCAGGTTTGTGAGGATATGGATCATCCATCAGGATCTTTCTTTCCAGCGTTCTTCTTGGTCCAGAGAATTGGGACTAGAGTAGGTGAGTTGTTCTACAAATCGTGGGTTGCCATCCACCCCAAAACTAAGTAGACTTTCCAAAAACACAGCAGCAGGCAGCACAGGAGGAGGGCTGATGTGTTGACCATGGGGAGCCCTGTACGTGAATATCTTGTGAACTACAAGTGGAGACCCAGGGAATCCTGGTACCCAATTCTGTCCTACAGACCCTCTCAGTCCTCTCTTCCATGGCTGAGCCATGTTCAATGGAAAATGAGAAAGGTTCTGGTGCTCGGAGCTGGGTTGTCTGGGAAGAAAGCAGCATCCCCTATAGAGATAAGGAAGGAAACAGTGCTGGGAACAGCAGATACCTTAGACCAGAATGGCAACTCACGCTCTTTAGCATTTCCATGATGGTGTGAGCTGCAGTGTGACTGCTGACTGCTGTTGTTCTGCCAGAAGAGATGGGGAACCATAGGCCATGAGTTCCTGAAATTCCAGCATATTCTGGAACAGGGCTCAATTGTTTATTGTGTTTCATGCATTTGATGATGTTATTTTATTCATGTGGACATTGCCCTTTATTCTTTGTCTACCTTTTGCTGTTTTCCTTAACTAATGTTGCATTATTGAAACCTAGGGAGAACCCTGTTGACAGCATTTGCTCAAAGTTCTCAGCTGACCCTTTTATTGTAGGAAGATGTGCTGTGCCTGTATAGTGGTGGGTCTCTCCTATATAGCCCTGGGCATAGCGGAATGGCCAGGAGCCTTAGAAACATGGAAAAGAGGAGTCTCAGCACAGGGAGGGAGGGGCGGCTTCACATCTTCCATCTAAGTCTGTGTCTCCTTCTCCTCCAGGTGGTCAGGACAAGCCCTCCCTGTCTGCCTGGCCCAGCCATGTGGTTCCTCTAGGAGGACATGTGACACTTCGATGTCACTCTCATCTCAGGTTTAACAGGTTCAGGCTGGACAAGGAAGGTGGGGCTCCCATCCCTGAGATCAAGGGCAGAACTTTCCAGAACATGTTCCACATGGGCCCTGTGACTACAGCACATGGAGGAACCTACAGGTGTCGTGGTTATTACCCTTACTCCACTTCTCTGTGGTCAGCACCGAGCAACATCCTGGTGATTTTTGTCACAGGTTAGAAGGAGCAGGGTAGTTTTTCATTGTCCCAACTCATGAATCCCAGAGTCTCTTGTGGTAACATTTGTCAGTATCCAATAATAACAACCATAACCTAGTATTTTAGAGCAAAGGGGAGTCAACTGAGTACCAAAGGGGGGGCAGATAATTATCTCAAATTTTTGTACATCAAAATACCCATATAATGTGAATATGTTATGTTACATTATAAGGGTAATGAAAGTTAAAGAAGAAATAAATGTTATCTGTTGACCTTGAAAAGGAGCAAATATTCTAGTGTGTACAGTGGGGTTCAGTGTAATCAAAAGGGTACACATAAGAGAAGGAGGAAGCAGGAGAGTGTGGGTCAGAACAATGCAGCAGGACAGAGTCTCCACCATTCACTTTGGGCTTTGAAGTTGGGGGAAAGGCCACAATCAAGGAATGTAGGGGACCTCTAGAGGCTGGAACAGTCAAGGGACTAGATTCTCTCCCCAGACTCACCAGAAAAAGCACAGTCTTGCAGACACTTTTATTTATACCGGTGAGACTATTTCATATTTCAACCCTCTGAAACTCTAAGATAGTGTGTCCTCTCCTGACACCATGTTTGTGACAATTTCTTACAGCAGCACCTAGAAAGCAATACAGATACCCACATCAAGAACTATGAATCAAAATAAGGAAAGCTGGCTCTATCTAGAGGTCAGTAGGGGCAGGATGGTGATACACCCATGTCTGGAGGGAGGGACCAATATTCCAGCAGCCAGACCCAGGGTCACCCTATGGAAGATGGGACCATGGAGAAGGCACCAACATGGCAAGAGATGCCCCTAAGTCTCCACCAGAGACAGGTTGTGTGGACACTGGGGAGTACCATAATACATACCTTACTGCTTAATTCTTACCTTCTGCCAGCGATTCCAATTTGTCAAAATTCACATGAACCAGGCTGATAAGAGCCTGCAGATGCAGCCTGTGGTGGTTCCTCTTTCACCCCACCATAAAGAGCAGGAAGGAGATTGGTGAGAAAAGGACACAACAGTCAAAGTTATGAATTTGGTCTCAATGGAAATGGAGTCCTGCTACAAGAGACAGTGAAAGAGAAAAAAGACATGGAGAGATGCAGAAGGGACCTACACTGAAGGGGTCATAAACACAGGAAAGAACATAGAGACACAGATAGGAAGGATAGAGACAGACATGAGTGAATGGACCATTTAATTCCAGGCCCTATGGAATGGGGTGAGGAGGGGTGACTTTTTCTAAACTAACAACTTCTGTTCTTAGGTTTCTACAGTAAACCTTCCCTCCTGGCCCTCCCAAGCCCCCTGGTTAAACCAGGAGGGATGCTCACCCTGCAATGCTTCTCAAAGATCGTGTTTCACGCCTTCATTCTGCACAAAGAGGGGATAACAGAGAAGCCCTTGGAACTTTTTGGGGAGCTTCATGATGGGGGGTCCTGGGCCAACTTCTCTCTGGGACCTATGATGCCTGTCCATGCAGGGACCTTCAGATGCTATGGTTTTGACAGGCACTTCTTCTATCGGTGGTCAACTCCCAGTGACTTCCTGGACATCGTGATCACAGGTGAGGGTATCCAGATTTCCCCTCAACATTTTGGAATACAGACTGGATGTTTCAGGACTTGGAAGCCCCAAGTGCTTGTGAGAAGGATTAGCCTGAGGTTCTTTTGGAGAGAGACAGACTTAGTGAGGACTACAACAACAAAGGCAGAGAGTGAGGAGACACAAGTACAGACCACTTGTCATAACATGAAGGACAGATATGGGGCAATACAGGGGGTCAGAAATGGCTGATAGAGCAAAGGGAGACACACAGACAGATGCACACAACAGAGGGTTTCCTTCTGTTCTTTCTTTGGAGTCCTGGGTCAGATTAGAAGTTTGGTTTATGATTTACCTTCACACTCCCTTCTTCACAAGAAGACCCCAAAGGCACACATGATCTCACCTGAGGTGGGCCCTGTGGCCTGGGGCCATGTGGTACCCACAGATGCTGTGTCTATTCTGATACTTCCTCCTTCTGTGTGATTGAGTCATAATTCTGCCCAGGATATTATGGTCCCAGTTGAAAGAGAACATCAGCCCCTGTGTAATTGTGTTCGCTCAGTCTCAGACTGGACTCTGAGCTTCATATTCCACAGTAGACCCCGATATTATAGGAGGGCAAAAACCCACAAAAATACCCAATCAAATGGAAAATGGAGGCATCAATGAACAGTGACTTAAACACACACACACACACACACACACACACACACACATACACAACTCACACACACAACATTAGCCAGAAGAAGTGAAAACAGGAACTAAGATCAAGGTCCTGAGTAGGGTGTACAAAAATAGCAAAAAATGGAGATGTGGGAGTGAAGGCAGAGATTCCACAAGAAAACTAAAAAGAGACTCAGAGGAAGACATAGTGAGAGAGATAGACCAGTGATAGATGGACAGATAGATGAGAGAGAGAGAGAGAGAAACATTCATTAGATCATAGATGTTCAGGTGTAAGGACAGTGTGATAGGAATGCAACTCTCTATCTAAACTGCCTCTTTGTCTTTCAGGACAATATAAGAAACCTTCTCTCTCAGCCCAGCCGGGTCTCATGGTGAAGTCAGGAGAGAACGTGACCTTGTCTTGTGCATCTGAGAACTCCTTTGACATGTACCATCTATCCAGGGAGGAGGAGGGCCATGAACACAGGCTCCCTGCAGTGCAGAGCCACAAAGAAACTTTCCAGGCTGACTTCCCTCTGGGCCCTGCAACCCATGGAGGGACCTACAGATGCTATGGCTTTTTGAATGGCTCTCGTTATGAGTGGTCAAATGCAAGTGACCCGTTGTGCCTTTCTGTCACAGGTGAGAAAACCCTTTATATGTTCCATGTTTTCTTTCTTTTTTGTCTGTTTGATTCCTGAAACCGTATCTGAAGAACATGTTTCTGATATGGAGAAAAGAAGCAGAGAGAAATACAAAGAGAATAAAAGAATGATTGAGTTTGGGAGGAAGTGTCAGGGTGTAGGACGGTAAACAGGGCAACCCAAAACCCTCCTTCACATCTCGCATTGAGGGCCTCATTGGTAGTGTTCTATGTACTAAGGCAGATACAGAAAAGGGTCAGAACTGTCCCAAGGGAGGGGAGTTTGGGGCTAGCATAGGACACTGCTCTGTGGAGAATCTCAAGGCCTAATTTTTGCAACTGAAACCTCCTCCAAGCAGGAAGAATGAGAGTCTTCACTCCTGATTATTCTGTCTCCACTTCTTACTGGAAAGGGTTTCATGGGGGCTCAAGAGTGGTAAGGGAAGGAAACACCTGGTGGAGGTGGGCAGGTCCCTAGAGGATGTCCACTTGACAAGGAATGAGCTCTTGTCTGTTAGATGTAAGCCTGGTGTACTCAGCAGAGCAACAGCCTTGCATAAGAGAGAACTGAGTTCATCCACACATGTAACATTTCCACAAACTTTTTCATTCAAACACTCTTCCGTGTGCTAGCTATGCAATGCATAATCATTTCCAAGTCTTGCTGTAACAAATTTCCACAAGTTTATTGGATGAGAACAACACAGTTACTAAGATCATCTTACAGTTATCTTATAGGTCAGAAGCCAGAAATGGGTCTCTCTGGCTCTGATTTTTCAGTTATTTAATCTTGGCTCTATTAATTACTTTCTGAGATTTATTATCACTGCTATACTATACCAACTTGCACTTTGCACAGGAGCAAATAATGGAGCAGGGGTTCAAATGAAGGCACCCAGTATAATAGCAAAAAATACAGGAATGACAAAGGCATCTCAATTAGAACCATCATTTTTCTACTACTCTATAAGCATTTTTCTGGTCCTCTCTACATTCCTCTACTTTATTCACACAAAAAAAATCAGGAAAAGTCTTGCTTCATTTATGACTTTGTGTGAGCACGAGATCAGATTGAAAATGGAAAGTGTCCCCAACCCCCACCAGCATAGGTCCTGCATTAGAGAGCATGTTTTATATGTAAGACTTGAACCCTCCCTCCCCTGACCCAAAATGTCCACTTCACCCCTGCTTCCATTCCCATGTGGAGATACAGATAGGACCCTGGGGGGTGATCACCAGCTTTTCTTGAGTGAGTTCCTATCTTGGACTTAGAGACTAAAGACAGCCCTATTTCCAGGCTGACTTTCTTGTAACCCACAAAACAGCTGGTTGCACTGGGGCAGGGAATGGACAACAATAAAATGTATTCAGCAGTAGATGCTTTCAGAAAATCAGAAGCCTGACGTAGGCCTCATGAGAAAACAGAAAGTAGCACATTGTATTCTGCAGTTCTGGGCTCACAAGCCTCATTGCCATTTCCTGATTGTATAACATATGAGGGGGGACCCAAAAAACCTGGAATTTCTTTATTAAAAATTGTATATTTATTCTCACATGTTTAAACTCCAGTCACCTTCAAAGGACACCCCATTTGAAGCCATACACCTGTTGTAACAATATTTTCACTGCTCAAAACAGTTTTTGAATTCATTGATTTGGATGCCTTTCAGTGCTTCTGACATTTTTTTTGTTTCACTTCTTCAGCACTGGCAAAACTTTTTCCTTTGAGGACTTTTTTCATCTGGGGAAAAAAAGTCACTCTGGGGAAGAGCAGGTGAATAGGGAGGTTGGGGCACAGGGGTCACTTCATCTTTGGTCAAAAACTCCTGAATTGGGCTGGGTGCAGTGGACCAAGCCTGTAATACCAGCATTTTGGGAGACCAAGTTTAGAGGATTGCCTGAGTCCATGGGTTCGAGACCTGCCTGGGCAACGTGGTAAGACCTCATCTCTAAAATAAATCAAAAAATTAGCCATGTGTGGTAGCGTATGTCTGTAGTTCTGGCTACTTGGAAGGCTGAGGTGGAAAGATGGCCAGAGCCCAGCAGATCGACTCTAGGGTGGCCGAGAGCATGCCACTGCACTCCAGCCTGGGTGATGGAGTAAAACTCCAACTCAAAAAAAATTGATGAACACCCAGTGCAGTGTGGGCATGTCATTTGTGTAAATTACCCAACATGAAATGAACAAAGACTTGAAAGAATCTCAGAAAAATTCACTGAGTTCAAACGTAGCCTCTCACAATAATGCTGGATGGTACAGTGATGCTGATGTGTTCCTAGAACAGTTATCTAGTGAGGGAAAACTGCACTACATGAGGACCACCCTCCAAAGATAATTCTGGGTTGGGGGGGTCCTCCCTTACATGACAGCTCCACCTCACTTCATTTTATCTTGATTTTGTTTCCCTTTTATTTTAGATTTTAGTTTGCTTGAATTTAGAGTGCTCTGGGTGTAGAGTTTGTGAAGTAGATTCACTGTGCACTGGTATGAATCCCAGGGGAAGAATCTTAATTCACACACAGCACCTTTGGCTATGCCAATCACTTACATGAGGTCCAGGGAGGGAGACAACACTCATGCACAAGTAACAGAAAGCCGGTTTATTACTTGAAAAAAAGCAGCATGGAAGCATAGGTTTGGGGCAAGCTAGTCCACAAAGTCTCAAGTAAAGCTCTGAAGGAGTCACCCCCATGTGCACCATAGCCGAGGGAATTGACAGTGAAGCCCGCCCTGGGTTTTATACCCCAGAGTCACATGACCCATTGAGCTAAATTAATATAAGAAATCCTGTTCTAAAGAGACAGGACCGGAGCTCAGGCTATTCCTGTCCAGATAAGATTATCCTTATCTGAACATTGTTTTTCAGTCAATTTGCATTGCTATAAAGAAATGCCTGAAGCTGGGTGATTTAGGAAAAAAAGAGGCCTATTTGGTTCACCCTTCTGCAGGCTGGAAAGAATCATGATGACAACATGTGCTTCTGACCAGGGTCTCAGCCTGCTTCCACTCATGGCAGAAGGGAAGTGAACCCTGCATGCACAGAGATAACATAGCAAGAGACAAAAAAGGGGAGGAAAGGTACCAAGCTCTATTTAATAACCAGCTCTCTAGGGCACTAGAAGAGGAAGAACCTCTCACCACTCCTCACAGAGGACTTTATTCTCCTCATGAAGGATCTGTTCCTGGGGGATCCACTCTCATGTCCCAAACTCCTAACTTTAGTCTCCAAGTTCAACACTGGGGACACAATTTCAACATAATAGTTGTTGTATTCCAGGAGGTTCTACAGTTATTCTGAGAACTTCAAGTGAGAAAAAGAGAGAAATTCGGATCCCCTATCATTTGTGGTCTAAAAATGTATTTTATGGGATTTCATGGAAATCAACAAATGAGAGGCAATTCATGAAGGGTGACGCTATGATTTGCTTCTTATTGGAATCACATCTTCCTCCAGATAAGCCCAGGCACCTGCATGCTGTGATTGGAATTTCAGTGGCCACCATCCTCTTTGCCAGCCTTCTTTTCTTCCTCTTTCATGGTTGGTGCTCTGCCAAAAAGAGTAAGTCTTGGGAAGAAGAAGCCAGAGATACGTGGGTACCATGGGGTGTGGGATGAGAGTACGTAGGTGTGTGTTCTTGTTGGCAAGATGATCCCTGACCCAGGGCAGGAACCACATAAGTAAGGTTTTCCCAAGAGAATTCCTGAACCCCTGCTCCCTCTCTCAGTTCATAGGCCATGGCCCAATTATGCATTCTGTTCTCACTTCCAACGTAGCCACTGATATCTAGGGGAAGAGTCTATGAAAGGAAGACTGTAGAATACAGCATCAAGGAATAGAAATTGGGAGCTGTATGTGAAGTGTTCTTCATCCTGGTGAAGTAGAATAGCTGACGGCTATTCAGCAGCTGAGTAATCTCAGGCACTCACCGTATCTCTTTGTGTGTTGTAATCTACATGTAGAGTTAGGACTCAGAGGTGCCCGCCCAAGTGTTTTAATGACTTCTATCTCCTATAGATACTGCTATAATTGAACAAGAGCCAGAGGTGGACAGAACACTCAACAGAGAGGTAAGAACCTCCTCATCCCAGCCTTATTAATAAAGTTTTAAGCCCTACTGATCCCCAAGAATGTGTGCATTCACCCTTACTCAACATTTCCCTCTTTCTAGGACTCTGATAGAGGAGACCCACAAGAGGTGATATATGCACAATTGGATCATCAGATTTCCACACGGAAAAAAGTCACCCACACTTCTAAAAGGCCCAAGGAATTCTCGACAGATACCAGTGTGCACACAGAACATGCAAAATGATAAGTAATGATAAAGAGTTGCTTCCTATCTTGTATGCATGCTAAGAACGACCTTGAGGTTGTCTTCCATGGAAGTCATACCCCTTTCTCAAACTCTGCTTAACAGCACAAATATAACAACAGCTGGAATACGAAGACATAAGTCTTCATCTTTAGGGCTTTCTTCATCACAACATGAACCTTAACATGCTCCCTCTTCTTACAAATTTGTATGGTCCCTGTTGCCTACTGGAGAGAACAGAAACTCCTTTTTTAGTCCACATACATTTCACTTGACCCCAGCCAACCTCTACAATCTAACCAGCTGTGGTTTCTTTTTTTGTTGTTGTTTCTTTATTTCAAAGATGTGAGGCACAATTCAGGATTAGGTATATAAATGTTCATTATGCAAGTACCTTTGTTGATGAGGTGTGCCCCTCCCTCCCCGGGCAGTTTCCAACTACTGACAATCCCTTTCTTATAGTATTATAATTATTGTTCAAGGTTGGCTTATGAGTGAGAACATATGGAACTCTGATCTTTGTTTCTGTGATAGATCACTGAGTATGATAAACTCTAAATCCATCCAATTGAAAATGTTATCTTTCTCATGAAATTTTGAACAGGCTTGTGTACAACTACCACATGAAGTTCATGTGCTTTCTTCACTCGCCTACTTTTCCCCCCATCCTCTCTGACACTGGGGTCAAACTGCTATTAATTATTGAAAATCTTTTGGGAAATTATTTTGAATTTTTTAAAAGCATCTATTTATCTTGATGTGGTATTCTGTTCTTAGTTTCTGTGATAGATCACTGAGTATGATAGACTCGAAATATTTCATCCAAGTTGCTGTGAAGTCCATATGTTTGTCCTTCTTTATGGACCAGCTGTACTTTCTAGACCTACTTGTGGCTACAATTACTCTGAGTAACTCACAACTGTATATACATGGGAGTGTCTCTTTTCATACCAGACTTAAATACATGCTGTACCTGAATGTCATTTTTCAGTCTTCTGTCACCAGGAGCACTTCTGTATTTTTTAAAAACTTCAATATAGATCTCTTCAAAAAAACATTTTCTGACCTCATGATTTGGATAAGATGCCTCTTTGCCCACCGTTCAAGTGTTACCCTCAGTATGCACATATCACCTTATATGTTCTCTACTGAGTTTTCATTCCTGGATTTAAGTGCTATATTGAATCTACACAAATGAAGTGACATTTGGGCATTGCATCAGGAATTACAAGTAATCTATAGATGACTTAAAGTATATGAGAAGATACGTGTGGGTAATATGCAAATACTATGACATTTTATTAAGAGATTTGAGCACCTGCAGATTTTGGTATCTGAGAAAGATCTGGAACCCTCACAATTGCCCCAAAACAACTGGATACAATTTGTATTTGTCAATTTAAAAAATAAATCTAAAAAATAAGATAAAATTGTAAAATGTTTTTGTATAGTGTGAAAATGTGTTTAGGGTTTTATTTTTTTTATTTACATGCAACCCTTATGTCCAATGTCATTTATTGAGAATAATTTATATTCCCCCTTAAAGCACATGTAAGTTTTTGTCAAAAAAAAAGAACCTCAATAAAAAAGACTCAATATACACAAATGTATTGTTAAAATCTGTTTTTTAGATGGTTTCTCTCTGTCTAGTCTCATGATAATATCATGTCATGCAACCTAACATTGCCCCTTAAATTTGGCCACTAAATTGATCTACCTTTTTAAGATTGTTCTTATTATTATAGGCCATTTTATATCCATGTAAATTTTAAAATCAGGTTGCTCTTTTCCTCCCAAAACACTTTGTAATTGTGTTATTATTGTATTAAATCTATAACTAGATGTCATTAGAAATATAAGGCAAACCACATATACCATTTTAAAGGTGCTAGTATTCAAATTAAAAAGTTAAAAAAACAGATAAAAGTAATTTGAGTAATCTATTTTATTTAACCCAATAGATTTAAAATAGTATTATCTTAACATGTAATCACATGTAGTCTTCGAAAAGGTCAAATCCATGTCTAGGAGGCACATATTTTTTTTTCATCATATGTCATCCCCACACTTCAACTTGGTACAGATAACTGTCCCTAAGTCTCAGGATAAGAGGATACAGTAGGAATGGGTAGGTCTATCTAAATGATTATGGAAGAATAGAGAGTACAAGAAATTAAGACATCAGAGTTTGGGCACTCACTAGAACTACAAGCACAGTGATACTTTGGAAGCTGAGGTCGCATCAAGGTTAGTATTGTGAGTGAACAATAATGAAAATGATAGTTTCATGTGCAGCAAGGACAGCTGCACCCTTTGTGTCCTCACTTTATGATGTGGGAAGATAAAAAGAACTTATCTTGACAAAGACCACACGGTATGGTGGACTTTTGACCAATATGGGGCCCCCAGGAGAAGCTTCCTGAGCTCATTCACTTTCTGCTGTATCTCCTCCCATAAACAGAATCACACTATTCATTTAGGAGATCAGACCATACATGGGTTTTGAAAGCTATTTGGGTTGAGGACTAGAAGAGATTTTGAATTTGCTTCAAAAGATTTTAGCATGTGAGATGTTTTTGTACAACACAGGTCATGTGAAAACTAGAAATATTCTCTGCAAGAGAATAATTTGTTCATCTTCCTCTGCAATCATCGGTGTAGAAGGACCTCAAAAGTGATGCTGTGGCCTGACACACCACAATTGGTGTATGACTCACTTCTACCAAGGCCCCTGGTATTTCTAATACAAATGTGTATCTCAGTCCATTTTCTATTGCTGATAACAGAATACCTGAGACTGGGTAATTCACAAAGAAAATAAATTTTTTTATTTAGGTTGAGGAACCACATCTGGTGAGGACCTTCTTGCTGCTGTGGACTCTGCAGAGTCCAGAGGTAATGCAGGGCCTCACAGGGTCACTTGAGTATGCTATTCGAGTCTCCAACCCATTTCTTGTGAAACCACCAGTTCCATTCCCATGATAGCCCATCAATCTATTTACAAGGGCAGAGTCCTCATAATTCAATCACCTCTCAGAGGCCCCACATATTCACACTGCCACATTGGGGATACAGTTTCAGTATGAGTTTCAGAGGGAAAAAACATTCAAACCATTGCAGTTTTCAATAGCTAAGAGAGAAAAAGAAGAGTTATGATCTTCATGAGATTTAGAAGGGAAGTGAAGGAAAGGGAAGGTATGATGGTTTTACCTGTAGTTATAGATCAGAATCTTTCAGAGATCAAGAAATGGATCCTGGGAATCAGCATAGGAGACTGAACTTTTTCATATTTCAGCCTAGATGGGGCTTTACGAACACATGATTTCAACTCAGATGCTGGTTAAGGTGAGGATTTTGGACAAGGTTAAATTTCATGGGACTTCTCTTACAGTGCTATAAGCAAGCATGAGAAGCTGAGTCCTGTTCCTGAACTATGATGTTCTTCTTGGTAGAACAGCAGAAGGCTGCTTCAGGACACCTGGGAGTGTTTGAGGAATGGATTTTACTCTGGGAGGGACCAGGTTATTGAGACTCCAGGGAACAGCAAATGAATGAAAAGTTTTGGGGATATATTCTTGGAAATATGTTCAAGAGACCTTCCAGCTAAGCTCATCTATACTCTATAACCCTAAGGGGGGGGTCTATATTCTGTAGATACATTGAAGAGAAGGCATAGGATGTGGTAGGATGCTGGGAGATGCTGTGGCGTGCACACAGCTCTGTGACGTCTCTAAATGAGGCCCAGTTATCCCCCTGTAGATGTCTGCAGACACCACATGGCCGAGGGTCTCAACTAGGGGCAATGTGTATCCCCAGGTCTTGCACAATGTTTAGAGACATTTTAGGTTTTCACAACCAAGGAGGGTGGGTGCTGCTGGCATCTAGTGGGTAGAGGCCAGGGATGTTGATCAACACCCCTCAGTGCACAGAATAGCTCCCACAATACAGACTCATAATTCAATTTCAAATGTCAATGGTAATTACGGGGGGCCAGCCCCTGCAGAGAGATTTAGGGGGTCCCTTGGAAGGTGTGGCAGCATCGGTGATCATTCTGGAGAGATAAAGAGAAAGAAAGAGAAGAGGGGAGAAAGAAAGAGACTGGATTCCTGCTCAAGTGACCAGAAGCCATTTAATGGGTGTAATCCCAGGGCTTTTATCCCCAAACTCTGCAAAGTTATCATCACAGGAACTCCTGCTGCTACGGTTGCACAAAAGGTAGCATGTGCCTTTCACATGAACAGGTCTAGGTGCACACAGGACACCCCCTGCTCTCAAGCAGATGTATTTTTCAAACATAAGGAAAAACATGAAGTTCTTATCCAGTTTCTATGTACCCTTAATTGTTTATAGCTACATAACATCGTTCAATGCTTACACCTAAAACCAACATAATGATATATTGCCTTTTACTATTCTAGGATAATTTAAACTGGTTTCTATAGAACAATTGGTGCTATGGTTACTCTCTCCTAGCACTAGCCAGCCTAATACAAACTTCACTGGTCCCTCTAAATCAAACTGAACTAACCACATTTCTATAATAAAATGGTTACTTAATTTTTCTTAATCTACATAAACTATTTTCTTAAAAACTATATCTATAAATTTCTAAAGGTCACATCAAGAAAACCTTTGACCTGTGTTAAGGCTCCTCAATGTGACTCAGAATCAAACTTAAATTGTGATAAAGCAAAAGACCATAAGCCGTGGAGAATGAAAACAATATACTCCTAGGTTTAGTTGTGTACGTTCCAGTCTCAGAGTTTTCTGTTAGAGCTAGTTGGAGCTTTTCTTGGTAGTTTGTGCCAAATGGAAAAGGAAGGAGGGAATGGGCCAACAGCTCCCAAACACATCCTAGTGGTCTTGGGATCAACGGCCCTTCCTCGTCCCTAACGCTCAGTGGGCCTCCGAGGCCGGCTCCCAACAGGTAATAAGGTCAAGAAATTTGTGTCTAGGATATAACACTTGCTACTATCACAATTGTACCAGCTGGTCAATGT